TGACGCGCGTCGAAAACAGTGAGAAACGCGTAGGCGCACCTGTTGACGGTGTGTGACTGCTCGGGTCACATCGGCGGCCATCACCGGGTAGGGTTGAGGGCTGACCTGGGAGAACGTGGCCCGGCCTTTGGAATCAATAGAGACGCCCAGGTGATCAGAAATCGTCGAAGGCTTCCACGCCACGGATGCTGCCGCAGTAATGAAGGTGCGAGCGCCGTCGGAGGAAGACGTATCTCCAGAGATACTGTCTGGGATAATCGAGTGGTTGGCGCGCAGGCGGACTTCAGAGAAGCTGCGTGAGGCGGGCATCTGAAACACAGAAAAACAAAGGAATATGGACTCAATTAGAGCTTAAAATACCAGCTCGCAACGAGGCAGCGGACTCATACAGAAGTGATAGAAGCGGACCAGCCGGCAGAACACGTATATTAATTGCCGATCAAGTCAGCAAGATTACATACACAATTTCTAGTCAACAGTACGGTTATGAAGGACGAGCGTGAGGACGCGCTCGAGATGGGACGAGCGGTTTGGCAACTGGGCCAGGTCGCTGTAGCCGTCTAGGGCAAGGTTGTGGAAAGCTTGAGTTGCAATCTGGGTGAAGTTAGAGCAAGGGATAAAGAAAAATGAGCACGCACCTCGAACATTCCCATGGTCCCTTGGACGGCCCGGTCGACCTGCTCAATCGCGTGATTGAAGCAAATGGCTAAGGGAACAAAGTTAGCTTGGGGCAGAACGAAGGAGAAGACGCACCTAATTGGGTTGGATCGCTGATCTGATGCGACAATTCCCCACAAACCTCGGTAATCTCTTCAGTACGCCAGTCGCGGAGGGCAGCCATGAAGAGGACGGGGTTGACGTATGAACAATCGTTATGGGCGGCGAGGAGGCAATTGGCGCAAGGGGCACCAAAGGAGCGGAAACGGCAAGGGAGCTCGTGTACGATGCAATAAGCGCATTTGCCGAGATACTACCAAAAATGGTTAGGAGGAGGAATATACAGCAAAAATGGCTCACAGCGGGACGCCAGCGGATAGCGCGTAGGACTTCGTTGGAAGTAACGGGGGGCAGGGTGCTCGTGGACACGAGGGAATTCGGTCTCGCCGTGAGGACCAGTGGAGACCTCCAGTAGTGCGGGAGGGGATGGGATACAGAAGTCGGGGAAGGGAGGGGTAATCGTTCCGATGAGAGGGAACGGGATCAACCGCAAAGTCGGAAGAATCGAAGTAGGCGGGGTAGGACATGTGGTGGATTGAATGAGATCGTCGCCAAGCAGACGGCACCATTTATAGTACCGGTCCGGCATAGCCACGCTGAGTGAGGACACTCAGGATTTTTCATTGGGGGACATGACGCACCTGACACGGGGCGGTACCAGGAAAGTCACGGGGAGTGACTTCCGTGGACGGGACGCCGACGCCGGCGCGTCCAAAGACGCGTCAAGTCAGAGGAGTGAGGTGGAGGCAGTGAGCGGGTGCCGCAGTATCCGCAGTAGTGCCGCAGCGAGAGGGCAAGGCGACGGGCGATCACGCGCAGTATGTGCAGCAGCAGCAACGGGCGAGGCGGTGTTGGCGACGAGCTGGGCGATGCAGGCAACGGGCGGGGCAGTGGCGGAGACGGAGGCGGTGGACCGGCAACGGTTGCCGGCTGCGGATTGATGCCAAGCCCGTCGGTGATCTATAAGTTTAGCGCATATGTCAGTAGATAGACAGTGAATCCATTGTGATTGCACCCACTGGCTGATTATCAAAGGATAAGGCCTCCGCGAAACGACTACGAAACGGCCTGCTTACCAAAGGGTAGGGGCAACCACGAAACGGCCTGATTATCAAAGGATAAGGGCACCCACGACAACGATAACGATAACGATAACGACCTCGCCGATCCGGGGTAACTGTATTAAGAAGCGCCAAGACTTTCGATTGACACCGGACCCGATAACGCCGTCGGTCCGACTTTAATTCAGCACTACCGACTACACTCTCACGACCTTTGCCGCCGCGCGGATTGGACTACTACTATATCAACACTACTCTACAATTCTTGTACCGACTATTACCAGGTTGCAACTATCATATACCTTGATAGGAGCCCCCGAACTTGCGCGCGTCATCATACGGATTGAAGGATATTGTATTTGTTGGAACTGCTACTATTGGATTGGGTGTTTTGTGTTGTGTTGAGGGTTGTAGCTGAGTCTAGCCCTTCCTCCTTCCCCATCACCCATCACCTGTTCTCATCATCTCCCACCCCACCCTTCGGACGTATTTCGAGCGTTTCATCGTGCACGGGTATAATAGAGCCAGCACTATCTGTCTGATTCTGTCGTCTTCTTCCCTTGCCGGCTGCCCTTGTTTGCAACTTCAACAATAAACCCTAACGGTCGCTGGCCCTCCGGCTGTCGACACACTGCAGGCCAAGGTATGTGGCTTTGTTGCATTGCAAGGCCCGACGCTCACGCACGGCTGTGTGAGAGCGTATCAAGCGATGCTATTTATGGACGCTTTCGAGGTTGCTAGGCTGACTTGAGTGGATGGCCGTGTCCGTGCAGATGGTCTGACGGTGAACAACGCTGCTGCAGACAAGCCGGCCTGAACAATAAACAAATGAACAAATGCACAAGGCCGAAATTGGAGTCACATAATTTGTGTGTCCACTGTGTGTCCACACACACTACGAGTACAAAAGAGGAGTCAGGCATGGCCATGGTCGCTAATTCTCTTCCTCTTAGCCCCCCATGTCTGTCGAGCTGCCCCCAGAAGTGTTTGAGTCTGTGGTGGGCCATATCCCTGACGACGATTTCGCCACACTCCGCGCCTGCTGCCTCGTGTCTAGCGCATTCCGCTACGAATCCGAGCGGCGCCTGTGGAAATCCCTCTCCCTCACCGGAACCAACAATCCGAGCCCTCAAGCACGACCCTACGCTCGGGTCGCCGAAATCCTCGCAGCACGACCACACCTGGCGCATTATGTCGTTAACCTGCATGTCAGTCTGCCAGACAGTGCGGAGGCTTGGGAAGAGGAGTGGGTTATCACGGAATCCATCATCCGGAAGCTTGTCAACGTAGCGCAACTCTTCATCGTGAAGGCGGCTCCGAGCGGCTTTCCATTTCACGTTGCGCTGGTTGCAGGCCGCCGCTGGGAGATGCGTGCTATGGACCGCCTGCTAAACGTCTTCGAGACGCAAAGGACGCTGGAGCACATCGCTATATCCCATGTCGACATGACTAGGGCCCTGTTCTATCGTTTGATGGACGTTTCGCCGTCTCTTTCGCTCCAGAGCAGTGAGCTGATTGGGAGTTCGATCCATGTTGACCCACCCAGTGAGTCAGCGCCTGTGCCCATGCCAGTGCCCATGATTCCCCAGAATGCCATCCGTGAATTGGAGATGGGGTGGAGCTCAGGCTTATATGACCTGCTGCTCGGTCCGGAATACACACAATGCCTGTCGCAGCTGCGACGTCTCACGCATGACTATATACCATGCCAGCAATATCTCGCCCCTTGCTTTTCTTCCGCCGATACCCTCCAATGGCTCAAGCTTCGTCTGGTTGACGGTACGTGATAACTGCCAGTCGTTTGTTGCAGTGTGTGTACCAACTCGTTCCAGGTTTAACCCTAACGTTCCCGCCCGTCTTATGCTGCCTGACCACGCTCAGCCTCCAGCTCACGCCGTACAACCTCCCGCTGTGTGTTGTCGATCTGTTCGCCCGGGCCGGTGCTCCGGCTCTGACGGACCTCTCATTCGACTACCCGGAGCCCCTCAACCATCCTGCATTGATGTTTCCATTCGCAAGCCAGAACTTCCAGGCGCTCGACGCCGCACTTCAAGGGCACGCCTGTCTCCAGAAGGTCGAATGGTGTGTGATGTTCTATGCGGGGTCGCCGGAACCGGCGGTGCACTTTGTAAGCGACCTGCGCAAACACATGCGGAATGCATTTGCAAAACAGTGGGTTCGCGTGAGCTACGAAACGCCCCGGATTCGATCGTTCCGGCTGTTCGAGTGAGAGGGCTTCCGCGATGTGAAATGTAGACCGGGCAGCATTATTGCTAGTTCATGTAGCGGTTGTTTAGAACGGGAATATATCGACTTAGAAGGCGGACTCGGAAACATGCGGTGCATAGTCAGGTGTCGGTATGCGTCGCAGAAACACGTTTGTAATGATGGCTAGAATCCGGATCGTTTGTGTGTCTTCTGGTCGTCTTCTGCCTACTGCGCTGGAATCCACTGGTTCAAGTTTGCTGAGGCAGCTCGTATGGCTGGGGGTCGTCGCGTTGAAGCATGAGCGCCAGCGTAAGCAGGAGTGCGTCGCTTCAAGTGGTACCAAAGCCATCGTGGAATCGGAATTGACAGGCTCGAAGGAGCGGATGCGCGTGCCAGAGAATCACGGAGATGGGGGTATCAGCAGCAGCCGTAGATGACGAGAGACCACAGAGATTCGGTATGGTGCTTGAGGCGTCTTTTGTGTGTTTCTATATAATGCAATTAGTGTAGCACGACATAAAGACTCAATAAAGACTGACAAGAAGGTGCCAGTCCGGTGAAAAAGGGCAGAATGGGAACTGAATTGGACAGGACAACGGGAATGCGTGAGGGATTGTGACCGAATTCACACACCGTTCCTGCTCGCCATGGTAGGCTGTAGTAGCAGTAATTGTCCAAGTAGAATGGTGGTATTGCCCTATGGGGGGAGACACAGTGCGGGAGTTCTTCGACAGCCGATCCGTCATGGGAGTGCAGATGAAGAAGACGTCGGTCACACGACTCCCTTCTTCTTCCGCTCCTCCACCATGACGACGGCAACGACCATTCCCCTTCCGCATTGGCGTTCTCTAGCCCCCGCGCCCGCGCACAGGCCGTCGCTACTACTCCAGGAGGGTGAATAGGAGGGTATCGAGCCTGAGGTGTGTCTCTCGTTCTGGTGCTTGTTCCTGAGCTGACGAGTATGCTCTTCCAGAAGACCACCCCGCCTGTCGCAAACCTTCTGCAACGACGAGGATGCTCTACGCAACGAAGGAGAGCTGCGCCGGGGCTACTAGTCGGGGATGTAGGGTCAGAAGCAAGGTGCGCGAAGCGGATACAGCCATCTCCTCACCTTTCTGAGCCCGTCCTGCAGCACACGATCTTCTCCTGCGACTCTCGCGCCACAAATCCCTCCTTTCTAAACGCTTACAGCGCCGGTTGTCCGTCGGCGTTGTGCTGGGCTGGCGTTGCGAGCAAAGACGAAGACGCGATACACCTTCTCCCCCAAGAAGGAGAGCGACTGGGCGAAGAACAAGCTCCGCGATGGGCGCTGGTGTGGGAGACGATGCTGGGGGATCCGCTCAGTATGTCTGGCCACTCGCCGCCCGTTCCGGCCACTGACTTAAGTTTTTCAGCGTTCTTTCCGGCCATCGTCACAGCTCCTTGGACGCCAGCCTTGCACGATGTTAGACAGCTCGACGCGGCTCTATCTATGCTTTGCTGGCCTGAGTCGGGTGCGTATACCTCCTCTTCGTCTGGTCTGGAACGATGACAAGAGATAGACCAGCAAGGCGTAGGGGAGTTGTCGCAACAAATGGGGGGATACCACGGCTCTGGAGAAACGCGGGCTTGCGGTATAGCAGGTGCGTCGTCCCTTTATAATTCTCCTCTTACTGAGCTGTAGCTAATAGCCCAATCTTACCGTTCGCCACAAGAACAATCGACACAAGTCCTCCACATACATAACATGGCCCTTTCGCGAATCTACTCCACCCACACAGACACTTGCCCATCTGCATCCCCTCTTGTCGTCCTTCCAATGCATCTCCGATCCTCGTTCTGCGGAGAATGTCCAGCAGCAAGCCACGATTGGGCTGAGATACTTCTCGGATTCAGCTTGCGCATGCGCTCGACAGCGCGCTCTAATGGCTCACAACTACATCCCCAATCATACGAAACTCCGCTCTTATCTGTCCCCTTCCCTCCCTTCCTGTTCCCGTTCCCCAACCGCCCCGCGACTACGGACTTGCTCGCCTCGAAAATTAGGCGCCGGCTGTCACATGCACCAGCCGGCAACCTTCCACTTGCTCGACGCGGGCGACGGAATCCAGCGCGGAAACGATACCTCAAGCTCGAGAGCCAGGATTTTGTCGACTGCCTCGAGTCTCAACCGTGTTCGTGCTCGTTGTGGCGCTTGGGCGCCGTCGGAAGGCTGCTTGCGCCTCTCCTGCTTACTGTGCTCGTCATGTGGCCTGCGCGGGGCTGCGTTCTATATCCGTGGTATCAGCGCCATGATATGGGTGTCACGAGTATCTTTCCTGGGATGAGAAGGAGGAAGACCCGGCAATGTCACCACTCTCCTGTATTCCGAGTAGGCGGGAAGGCTTGTATTTGTTAGCAGGTCTTGTTTTACGTGTTTGGTGTGAAAATGGGCACATCCCTCCGTGATGCAAGAAAAATGGCTGGCAACAGCCCCGGCGAGCTGCTGCCAGCCCTTGAATGCCTCCACATCCATCCCATGTGGCTGCGGTGAACGATTGGCTCGTCGCGCGCATCAACAATCACCCCGAAGGGCGTCGACAGGGGCGGGCTAGCACCCGGAACATCAGCCTCGTTGTGAGCTGGCCGCCAGACGGTGCGCAAGAAACGGACTGCTGCTTCGGTCGCTGGGTAGGCTAGTGGGGGACATTGATGTGATGCACGATTTCAGGGAGTTCCAAGTTTCCAAAATTTCACGTATGGGAGTGACGAATCCAAGACTTCAAGTCCCCCGTCCTGTCTTTGGCAGACCGCGCTGGGGTGTTTCCAACCACAAGTTGACATTCTGTCTAGATGAGGCCATGACTACAAAGTGTTTTTGTTCTATTCTCTATCAGATAAAATATAGTATTGTTTCGAATTCGAAGCGAATCAAACTTGAATGGTCGAACATTTTCGGTATGCATGCGTCAAACCTCCCCGCGCTGCCTTGCCTGTCGCAGTAGATGGCCGGCGCCATTGGGTATCGACACCCTCACGCCCAGGCTATGGTGGAGGTGATACAAGCCGTGCAGGTCGTCTGCTGAGATTCTGTGTGGTGCCAGCTCGACGACAAATAGTTTCACGCCGGCGGTGTTCTGCAGGCCACCAGCGCGGGCCGCGTTGACAGCGCGCATAGCGATTCCATCGAGGAACGGGCGGATGCTCGACTCGGAGGGGCCCAATGCAGACTCGGAGGCTGAGGACGGGACCAGAAGGGTAAACGACTGCAGGTTTGGCAGTGTGGAGAGGGAAGAAATGTTGAGCGCGCACTGTCGTTTGCCGTCGCGATCCATGTCGGACACCGCCGTGACTGTGAGACTTCGCAGAAAATTGAGCTGGGAGTCCAAAGCGGCCTGGAGGGAGCTGAATTTCGTATCGGTTAAGACCAGGTTGACGACGTTGGGCACCGATCTGTTGAGGCCGAGAAATTCGTCGAGTTCTGTCAACCGGAGAGTAGTGAGGGCAGGCAAGAAGAGATGTGGCAGGATGACACTGCTGCGGCGTCCGCGGAGCGAGAGGGTAGAGAGCCGAGGTAAGGGCATGGCGCTGCGAAGGTGCAGCATACGTGCTGACTCGAGCATCGTGTGGTCTGAAAGCGCAGGGAGTGTCAGGTCCTCCAGTGCGGTCAATACAGCCAGAAGGGGGAAAATGTCGATGGAGAGGGCGGTACGATGGATTGTAAGCTTTCGCAACTGGCGGATGGGAAATGCGAATTGAATCAAGTGGCGTGGCTCGGCGATAGACAGCTCGCGCAGACGAGGCGCGTTCTGGAACATAGAATATGGAGGCATGTCTTCTTCTTCTGAATCTGAATCCGACTCGGAGCTCTGGATCCATACATCAAGTTTAAGCTTCTCCAAATGCGGGAGAGCGAGCGGGGTATCAAACGTTGAGATATCAAATGCCAAACCTTCAACAGAGCGCCCTGCGATAGACAGATCGGCTTCGACCCATTGGTGAGCAGATTCAAACACACAATGAGGCAGCCCTTCGCCATCGTATTCCTCCGAGAGGACCAATTTGATTGGCAGTCCTTGCGCGCGCCGGAGGAAGTATTCGGACAACAGGTTAGGCTCTCCGGTGTCGCGAATGAAGTAGCAGGTATTCGTCCACAGTCTCGGGTCCGCAATTGCAACATTTCGCCACCGCTGGCAGACGGCAGTAATCGATAGTAACGTGCGAGTGATTGCGCTGCCAGAACACGAGGACACAGCTGCCGCAAAAAGACGACAGAGGATTTCTGCAGGGAGAGTGTGGATAGGATAGATGACAGTCGACAGGTCGACCCGGATTGCATGGAGACGGTCTTCGAGGCTCGCTAGATGCGTCATGAGGTGGCGTATCTCTGCGGTAATTCGGTCTGCTTCTTCCCTGAGCCGCGTTACATCGAAGGGGGCCAACGTGTTTTGGTGCAGGCTAGCAGGATGTTGGCGGAGGAGCGAGAGCACCGCGGCGGCCTCCTTGTAATTGCGCCGGTATCCGTTCATGTGCAAGAGATGCAAGCGTTGTCGATGAAAGTCTGGTCGATGAAGAATATGTCACCCGTCACGCCACGTCACCACCTTTCCTCTCGACCATCTTCACCCCCACCCTCGCTCAGCGCGTTCACACACTCTGGGAAAGTCACTCCCCCTCGAAACCGCGCCGCCAAAGTGGAGCTCAAGACTGGCTTGATGGAGGAAGAGATGTGGAATGCTTTTGAAGGCGAGAAGGGAAGCCAAGAGCAGCTGGATTCCAAGGTGTGTTACGACGCCCGTTGCGCTCTCTCCTCCTGACGCTTTTCGCATAGCACTCGGACTTGCTGTAACGCCGCCCCCACCCGACTGTCCACCGCCTTTTCCGTTCTCGAGTTCTGAGGCGATGACTTCAGCTGGCATCTGCTCACGGCGACAGCCGCTTTACGACGGAGGCTGAGTGCCACGGGAGGGACGGGCAGGCATAGAATCCTGGGAAGAAGAGGTTTAGGGTGCGTTTTCCAACCGTCCAGTACTCTTTTACCATCCTGACTGCATAGCGCAGGTTACTGCTCTTCGCCTTTGTAAACCGACAAGCCAGAGGATGTAGATTGGCGCTCTGTGGCACACAATGGACGAGCCATGACAGCAGGTGTGTGTCGTTTGCCTTGGCGTGTTGCGGCTTTTCGCGAAGAGAGTCTTAGCCGTCTTCCAGTTTTCCCTCCCTATCGCCTCATTTTCCCCCGTCTCCTCCTCCGAGTCCTCCATTCGCAACGCCACTTGCGTCCATCCGGATTCAAAATTCGACCTCGCTATACATTATCCCCCGCATTTGTCTTCCAGCTGAACGCACTGTGGGGTTGGACCCGGTTGGGAGACAGCAAGTAGCTGAGCTCACCCCCTTGTTAAGCTTTGTATTCGACATTTGTTTTTGTATCCCGTGAAAAGTCAATAAAGAATAGGCACCTCCCGAACACCATTCTTCTGGCAATGTTTGACCAGAGCCCATCGCAGCATGCTGACATGACCAGGCAGGCAATCCATTCTACCCTGCTCGGACCCGAACGCATCCTTCTTCAGCTCCAGCAATGTGTAGAGTGTCTCGTAGCCATTTCCGATGAGAGCACTCACAAGAGCGTTTGGTAGTCTGTTTTCAGCACAGAACTCTGATGTCGACTTATCCAAATCGGAGACCTTGTCGATATCGTCGGAAGTGAGGTTGATGAGCCTGCTGCCTCCAAAAGAAAAGGTCGGGGCCTCCCCGGTGCCGCCGGTACCGCCTTGCAGCGTGCCTTCTCCCCCCGGACCACCCTGTCCTCCTAAAAATGAATTAATGGTGCGTGTTTGGTTGCAGTCGAAAGTGCCCCACCTCTGGCATTAAATTCGCTGTAATTCTGAAATTTAGAGAGGTCGAAATTCGACGCCCTGCCCGTGCCTCCGGGGCCTCCGACTTCATGACCTTTGCCGCCTGCGCCGCCGCTCCCACCTGGGCAATCAGCATACACAGGAATCAGTGCGAGATAGGCACTAGTACTTACCCTCACCACGAAATACCCTGTAGCCGTGCACGCCAGGGGCTTGAGGATTTGTGGGGGCAGCACGGTGGTGGTGGTGTTGGGCCTGCATGGAAGTATCTGCGGCTGTCACTGAGATATGCCGCCGACTTGAAGGGCCCTTTATACTGTCAGCGACGTCCGAGTCGCACACATGCATACCCATGGGAGTTCAGTTTTTTTTATCCGCAGATTCCCAGCGTCTATGGTAGTGCTTCGCCACTGACAGCACCTGCTGAAGTGGAATCAGCGCGGCCTTTGAACGGAAAATCGCACCGGTTGCAATCCGTACCCTATAGATAATCAGAATCATGGCCCGTTCCGACTCCCGAGTCCAGCTGGCCCGCTAAGCACTACTACCATCGCACGTCGCGCGACGGCTTGCCAGTGATTGTTGCCATTTCAATCATGTGAGCGAAATTCGAATAGCGTGCTAGCCAGAACTTGGGCTGAGCTTCTCAGGCTTTGCCCTGGCATGTCGGGCAACCGTCACATACCGGAATATCTCAACGCCGGGTCTGTGGGCGCGTGGGTAGAAGAGCGATAAGAAGAAATGCAAACATGATACCCATGACACAGACTATACATTGCATGCAGGCGGCACGCTAAATTTCGAGGGTTCTGAAGTCGGGCTTGACATTGCCCGGCGGCAAATGCCGAGAAGCAAGAAGCCCAACGTCACCTTCACACAGAGCTCAGTAGGCAACATGGCTGCCCACTGGTACTACTTGACTGACCGACGTCAGTCCACACGATAGGGCAAGCAGCAACCTTGGCCAGTTCGTGCAGTGGACGTTCGGCCCTTCCTATATGCGAGCAACACCATATATATTTCGAAGACATGACACCCGTATCAATGGTACATGTCGAGGGCCCGCGCAGGCCAAATAGCAGGCATATAAAGCCCAAGATGCCGAAGCACGCTTCGGACGGCGCCAAGAGCCACGATGAGCCCGAGCGTAGCTGTAAATCGAGATGGATAATCGCATTGCGGTCCTAGAGCTTGAGGTATGACTTCTGCGGTAGATTCCGTCGCCCGCGTCGAGAAAGTGGAAGGTCGTCGCCTGGCCAATGGGTGACAGTAACGCGTGTGACCGCGGGCGCCTAATTTTCGATTCGACAAAGTGAGCGATTAGAAGGCGGTCGGAGCGGGGAAATGGGAGGGGAGGGAGGGAACAAGCGAGAGCAGGGTTTCGGAAGACTGGGAGTGTAGTCATAGTCTGCTCGAGCTTGCCGTCTGGCGCCTGCGCGGGCTAAATTCGACAAGAATTTCGGCCCAATCTTTCTCTTTCTCCCCGCAAGAAGTACGAGAAGGAGGTTGGGTGAAGAGTTACACGGAAAGGGAGGAAGCGAGAGGGGATGCAGATGGGTGCGTGCCGGTTTGGGTGGAGCAGATTCGCGAGAGGCGACTGCTCTATTCGGCTTCGCGATATTTGTCGCGCTATAGGACAGATGTCACCAGGAGGAAGAAAATCAAGACCCGACGCACCTGCACCTGCGCAAGCTCGCGGTTCCTCAGAGCCTCAATATAACCCCCCATTTTGTGCGATGACTCCCCGCCGCCACTACGAGCCGTTGATCTACCAGTCTCGTCGTTAGTACAAACCAGATGCAGAGAGGGAATACACACCAGAGTATAGCGAGCACAGCGTAGAGACCGGCGCGTTGAGCTGTCTGGCATCGCGCTAGGCTGGCGTCCGAGGGGTTGTGAGTCACAACAGAAACCGCACTGAAAAAGTGATGTCAGTGGGCAGGAATGGGCGGCGAGTAGCGAGACATACCAAGTGGATTCACTAGCGTCGTCTCCCGCGCCCGGAGCTAACCCCTCAGCCAGTCGCTCTCCTTGGCGAGAAGGTGTATCGCGACCTTGTCCTCGCTCGCTGGGCAACTACAGTGCGGCACAGTCAATGGGCAGGGCCATAGACGTCGAGGGAGGAAGGTTTGGTCGCTTATAAGTCGCGGGGAGAAGGCCGTATGGGTTCTGGAGAAGATGGCCTTAGAAGGGGCAAGAAAAGAGCTATTCGTTCCACGCACCTTCTACCCAGCCTATATCCCCGACAAATCGTCCCAGCGCCACTCTACCTTGTTCCAAAGTGCCTGGTCGTCGTTGCTTAAGGCTTCTGTCCTGGCCGGGCTGGGAGGAGCAAGCGCGTCAGCTCAGGAACACCCAAAAGGACAGCAGACATACCTCGATACCCTTCCATTCATCCCCGTGGAGCATTAGCGCCAGCCTAAGCCCGAGCGCAGGCGGTAGCGGAGACCAGCGCGGGGGTGATATGGTCGTCGTAGTCGTCCATGGTGACGGAGCGGAAGAAGGATGGCCGCGCGTGACCAACATCATTTTGCTCAGGCTTCTGCACTCTCATGCTGCGATAGGACGCCACGCTCCAAGTCCTGTTCTGGGTCTTTCCCAGAGCACTCAGCATTCATCGAATCGTGTCTATACCGTGACTTGGGTCAAACTTGAACTTCTCCCTGGGCTCAGGCTACTCTCAACAACGCTCGCGGAACCAGTCATTCCGGGAATGTCGACAGTCTCTTGTCGTCGACAGCATCTGTCAATGCTCGCGGTAACTCTTTCTGCTACTGTCCATGCTAGTGTGTCCGGCCTGCTCCTTATGCACCCGCTTTGCTAACTGATTCTCGCCGTCCTAGTTTTGCATTTGCAAGGCTAGGCATGCATAGCGGTTAGCGGTCGGCGGCCCGTCGCGGGCAACGATATATCCAAACGCCGTTGTACGCGCTACTCAAACAGCTCCGAGTCTGCTCTCCGCGATAGTCCGGCACCGTGACGCGGATCTGCTCCTTTGCGCCTGTCCGCAATGGCTTTGTCACAAGCAACGCACGCTAAGTTCCAACCGCTCATGCTGCCAGTGGCGCTGGCGCTCGTGCTTAAACGCAACCACCCCCACTGGCACCCATACAAGCTGCCTCAAGCTCCCTGTCTGGTCAGCCGAAGTCTCCCGCGAGATGGTAGTATCCGTGCCCACTGCCGATGCGAAACGAGCCCTCGCTAGTAAGACAGACAAATTGCTCGTGCGTGTGTAACTGAGACTTCTGCCGATTCTTAGCAGCTTGCACCGTCCCATAGCCCCGATTCTCTCGCATTGTACCCATCCCGCTGGCGCCTCAGAATGATCAATACCTTTGGCGAGCCCAAACGAAGCAGGGTATCAGGTGGGTTTCCCGATTGCCACAAGCTTGTATTGGTTTATATCGGCTGACAGTCTTGTAGCCTCGAATCAGGACAATTCCGATCTGGTATAAACCACCTCGCCATCCTCGTTCTGCTTATAGTCTGAGTAGTATTCAGAGAACGGCATTTTGTTGCCCATTCACTTCTTGCCTGTTACATCGGTTTGTTCTGCAAACCGGCTTCATGGGAAACTGATATCACTACATAGGAGTATACAAATCAAACACCATTAAATCATTACTATGGCGAGTGGGAACCGTTGGTACGTGAATTTGACCACATTCCCTTCAAGTTCACGCATTCCCTTCTGGCTGTTCTGCGTTCGAGCAGAATTCAGTCCCCATTCTCCCCTCATTCACTGCGCGGGTATCCTTCCCGCTCTCATTGTCACGCTAAGTATCACCTCCCCAACACCTCCCTATGCCACAGGTTGTGCTGCCGCTCTCTTTCTCCGAGTCATCGGCTTTCTGCGACACTCATCGCATTACATAGCCGGCTAACGACGCCTCGAGCGCCACATTATACATACTACCAACCTGTACTTCCGAATTACTCCTTCAATCAACCTCCAATAATCACCGCGGCGACACCAGCGTCTTCGCCCACTCCGAAAACGACACCGACTCCCGCTCCGAATAGCGACCTGCCGGCCTCGACAACGTCAGCCTCTGGAACCTCATCGACTTCCTCCCCACCACAGTCGCAGTCGCAGTTGTCGCCACCGACGCCCTGCGCATGTCCCCGCTCACAAAGTCGGGCGGCACCGACGACAGCGGGCTGAACATCAGTGACTGGTCACCGCTGCTCAGCGGCCGCTTGTTCGTCATCGTGAGCCGCGCAAGCTGGCGTGCTAGATACGCCTCGCGCCGCTTCGATGTGGGCTCCGAGTCTGGGATCGGTGGCGGAGGAAATGGAAACGGCACCGGCCCGGGGCTTTCCGGACCGTGCATCGCCGGAGTCGAATCGCGCGTGGTGGCGGCAGGAGGGGAACGCAAGGGCGGGGGTGGACCGTGCATGGCTGGCGTCGAATCCCGAGTTGTCGCGGTTGGCGGGACATTCAACTTGAATGATGCGGCTTTCGCGACCGGGAAGGGTGGGGAAATGCCGCGCGTGCTTCGCGTTGTCCCGGCGCTAGCAGCGGAATAGATAGAGATGGTTGCCGAGGCATCGCTATCTCTCCGCGATGGTGCCTCGTTCTCCTCCTTCTCAATCAGCAACGCTGAGCCTTTCTCCAGATCATCTGACTCTGGCGGAAGAACGAATGGGCGAATGAACGCCAATCGCTGGGCCCGGCGTTGCCGTCGCTGGCGTCGAAGCATAATGAGGACGATTACGCCAACGATGGCGATGATGAGTACGACGAGGGTTGCGACAACAAGTGCGGGAAGGGCTCCTGAAGATGTGCTTGGTGAGGCGCTGGGGGCTGCCGGCTTTTCAGACCCGCGAGTGAACCCTGGTTCCTGGGCGGGCGAGAATGCGGGTAAGGAAGCCTGAGATGGTTCCAGCCCGGCATTTGCCACGACTCGCGCGGGCAAGGACGACACAACTGCGTCGAGGAGGGAGGGTTGGCGCCGTCTACGTTTTATTAGCACAATAAGAAGTGCAGCGTCCAGTCTCGTACCGCAAATGCAATGCCATTTTCCACCCGGCGCAAGGGCCTGTCTGGCAGGTCAGATCAACTTGAAGCTCGAGCTCGCTTTCCGCCACAGCAACGAAGGGTACCAGGGTGTTCAGTGCTTCTCTCACTCCCTTTTAAGCATCCAACAGCTCCAGCGGGATCCGGGAGTCTGGGGCACAGGCCCTGACTCGCGCATAAACAGTCGTGATCGGCTGAAAAACCTCGCAACTGAATGCGATTGATTACATTTGGCAGCCTGCTCGCTGACGACCAGCGCTGCTCGGGGGCGGTTTTCTGGACGCCGTCACTCAACAGCACACAGCCGGCTGTCCCCAGGACACAACGGAGCCCATTCGCAGCCGGCAAGAGATGCTGTTGGCCTCTCGCAGATATGGTCCCTGCAGCGTGTGATCCTGGTCCGGGGAGTCGGCCCGGATCCGACAACGACAATTGAGCGCTGTTTTCGACTGGTCAATATCATGACCGGGAGCGATGGGCACTGCGAACGCACCACGTTCCCGAGCATAGCTGACGATGAGGAGCTATTAATACCGAAACAAAAATGAAGGTCTGCAGGGGGTTTGTACCGCATGTCGGGAGCAAAGGGGAGCGCACAATATGTAAGAAGAAAAACTACATTAGTTTGAACAAGAATTCGAAAATACCCACCACTTTATAAAAGGAAGAACGGAAGTAAAAGAATGGACAAAATTGCTGCCCGACTATGAATTGTCAGTACTTGGCTGCTATAGAGGAAATGAAGGACACACTATGATGAATCCGAGTATCTACTCAGTCTTGATGCTTGTAAACACGAGAGAAGGTCAGTTTTTTTCGTTGAGCATCGATTGACCTCTGAGATCTGAGGCGCTTGAAGACGCATGAGAAACCGCCACCTCCGCTTGCAACGCTTCCCATTCTTGCTAAATAGAATCCTGACATACCAACCGTCGTACTAATACCAGCAGTTTACGCCCCGAACCCGCGCAGGCGACACAGCAAGCAAACGACCCATACCAAGCCCACGCACCCTTCCGACGGCGATGGAGCATTGCGACGAGCACCAGCGAGGCTGCAACTTGAAACGGGAGATGATATTGAAGTCTTCCAACTTGGAACACAGTCCCTGGGGTGGATTCGGTCGCCCGTGGCGAGGAAGCAGATCGTCGCCGTCTCGCGAAAGCGTGACGGTGACGTGCGTGACCACGGGCGCCTAATTTCTGAGGCGCGAAACGGAGTCGCAGCAGGGCGGGCAGGCGCGGGACTAGGAGGGGATGTCGCAAGAAAGGCAACAGGAGTTGTTCGAATGCCTATTTCCATGTTGATGTAAGGTGCCGCCACAAACGAGAAAGTGAGATTGGCGAACGAGACAAGTATGAGGAGGGGAGTAACGAGTGCGAAAGCAGGCCATTGAATGGCGAAGGGACGAACGGGCATGATCTAGGATTGTACACGTAATTCGGGAAGGGTGGTGAGTGAGATCTGAGGGGCCGAGACCACTGTGGCAGCGATATGGGTCATTTCACCATCTTCCCGCGATATCGGCGGTCAGAATCAGCGGCATGGAGCTGATATCGTCTCTCCTGAGTGGAATTATCCGCGGTTAAAGGCGTGTTGGGCTTCGTGAGGAGAAACAGGGCAGGACATAGGAACAGTGTGGGGCGCCGAGGAAGGGGATGACGAGCTCGGAAACGGAGCCACCGAATGGCAGGAGAGTAAAAGGCCGTTGGAAAGGGAGGCGCATGGTCGCTGGGTAAGTCGTGCTTTAAGCCGGAAAAGGCCCGCAAGCCACGAGGAAGGCCTATCGGCCGCATGCACAACGTTTTCACTAAAACGTGGCTGCGACAGCATTTTCTAGCGCGCACATCCTCTCCACAACCTCCGCAATACGACGAGTAGATTTCAACTGTCAGCAGATGACGAAAGACTGCATTATGTGATGCGGGAGGAGGAGGGCATTGGCGACGTTGAGAATGACGAAAGCGAATCGTTCTAGTGCGGCGGCGGGTAATGAGCCGAGGTAGGGAGAGGTGCGGGAAGCACTTCATTGGGTCGTTTAAGGCCACAGAGGGACGTTACTCGTGGCGGGGAGATTGGCGCCATATGCGACGACAACGGTGTCAACCCCTGTATTTAATCGTTGAGGAAGACGATTCTCCTTGTCGGAGGGGAGAGAGGAAGCGTTGGGGAAGGGAGAAAGGTAGGGAGCATGGCGATAGTGCCGCGTTTGACGAGTTCCTGTCGGAATTGAGCGTGGTCATTCAGAGGACGGGACGAACAACGCACTTTGGAGCCTTAAAACTGTCGTTTGTGGTCTAAAAAGGCCCGCGTCCAATTTGAAGGCGTATGAAGCTCTTTCGCCCAACGTGCTGAGCCTTTTGAGTCGGTCGTCGGCATCCAAGCCAAAGCGGCCAACTTCCGGCCGTGTATGGCTCCACCGTCCGCATGGGGCACTTCTTAAAGCCATGTTGTTATGTGTAGACCAGAGGGAACGGCCTAGCCCCGGGAAGATCAGCCTACAAAAAGGAATGACGATGCGTATGCATCACCCACAAAGAACGCACCCTGAAGAGCACCAACAGCGCAGCATAGCGTCCCATACGCCCCGGTACAACACCCTCCGACAGCACCTTCCCCCCGCCAGCCCCACGAACCAGCTCCCCTCCCCGCCTCCCGTCGTCGTTCCTCAATCTTGGCAGCGCGGACACGTCATCGCCCGTGAGGCCCTGGCTAGCCCTGCTTATGGGGTCGTCTTGGAGCAATGCGGCGGGCAGGATTCGACCGCGTACAACGCGCTGTATGTCGTTGGCCAGATGGACATGACGGAGGAAGAGAAGAAGCCGATTTCCTTTTTCGGCCAGACGGTGGTTGTTCCCGATCGCCACCGTCCACCGCGCGTGGACACTGACTTGGGCGCGTTCATTGCTTTAAGGGGCTGGAATGGCCCCATCCGTGGCATACCTCGACTCCTGCTGGAGCTTCCCGTTGCAGCGCAAAGATACACAGCCGCCACCTCCTTTCTTCTTCCCCCCGCCTCTTTTGCAGCAATGTCCTCTCCACCGCAAGCAACGCATAATATCAAGGTCTGTGCTGCATTGGCAACACTTTCTGTCAAGTCTTTATGCGCTCCAGATCTGTCTTGTCGGCGACCTCGACGTCGGAAAGGCGTACGTTCTGCACAGCGCGGAAAGAGTGACTCACCATATCTCGATACAGGTCCCGTACGTCACGCAAAGCCCTTCCTAGACACTCACTCTTGAGGATGCAGTCATGCGGCGCTTCACCGAGAACGTCTTTGCCCCCACGCAGTCTCCGACGATCGGTGTCGGGTTTGCGGTTCGGCCCCTTGATATTGAGGGGAAGCGCATAACAGCACGAATCTCCACGCGTCCGAGGTGCGTGATCCAGTCTATCTCGTTCCCTTGTTTCATTCAAGTACACACTCCTTCCCTAGTTCGGGAAGATTTCTCCTGCGGAGGTACGCCCCGCAACCTTGCACCGGCATATATGATACTCATATGCTTGAAACTGGGCAACAGCTTCTGCTACACTGCATTGAGCGTCTGCTTCGTCTACGACATCTCCCAGCGGCGCAGCTTTCCAAGCATCGAGAGCACCTGGCTCGGGGAGGTATCGGAGAACATGCCCTCATCCCCGACACCGCCGCCGGTGCACCTCTACCTCATTGGAAACAAGAGCGACCCCGACGCCCAACGGGAAGTCTCCTCCGCGGAAGGTGCTGAGCTGGCGGCGCGCTGCAATATGGTGTTCGCTGAAACGAGTGCGCTGGACTCTAGGGTTAGGTTAGGGTTAGTGCCGCCAGTGAGCGCTGACCAAGGAGCGGCCAGCCGATGCGCGGCGGCACCGTGCGCCTACCGTCGGTTGGCCTACGGATGGGAGTCATGGGACGGCTTGGCGGCCACCGAGGCACGTAGGAAAAGCAGACATATAACTCTGCCACCTTCGGACAACGCTCAGAAGGTTAGTCGTATGGAAGCCCACGCCTGTTTGTCGGGCGTGCCAAGCAGGACAAACGGGCGTGCCAAGCCGACCGATGGGCGTGGCACGCCTGATGGACGGGCGTGGGCTTTGATCGCCCGCCAAAACCCACGCCCACGCCCATCCACGCCCGTTGGCGCAGGCCCACGCCCATCGGGCACGCCCAAAAGTGCACTCTCCTCGGACGGGAGTGGGGTCGAGCATTTCTTCACGACTGTCGTCACTCGTGGGTTGTCATCTTTTTGCTATCCCTGCGGCACTTTCGTGACACTGACTCTTGACTCCGACTGGGTCGACGAGCTGGGGCCCTAAACTACAGTTATGTACACGTCCTAGCTATGAATCACACGGTCTGCTGGGAAGGAATACGTGAAAACAGATGCGCTGAATTTCATTGATGGACTACCAACAATTCAGAGGGCGGTACACAAGCCGCAAAAGTCCTCCGCATTGTGCGAATACTGCCCTGCGTCTGCTCATCGAGCGGCGGAGCGCTGTGCGCAATGCGCAGCGCAAAATCCTCCAGCACTGACATGTTCATGCGCAGAGGACACACGAGAGAGTAGCGGTCGACGCCAACCGGGAGTGTGACAACATGGATTGCAAGTCGGCCGTTGCTGCGCCGCGCGCGGCTGATCCAGTCGTCGATGTTCGGAAGGTGCATGTGCTCCTGGTTAGTCAGCGCAGGTTCGATCAGGACGTCGTTTAACTCTGGTTTCCCCCCCAGAAAGCTGGTCGTCGCAATGATAACGGCGCGTGGATCGTGGCCCGCCGTAGCTTGCTCTTTGCCGATGGCCCGGCGGTGCACCGCGCTTATGCAGTGGAACGCGCCCGCATTCTCGCGGTAGAATGTGTCGAGTGCCAGGCGGAACAAGGCAAGCTGGCGTTTCGAGAAGAGGGCCCGGACCTCTGTGCTATTTCAGGCGCACGAAAGTCGGAGTGGAGGAACAGAACGTACTAGCGTATTCAGCCCTGGTCGCGCTACATGTGGAACGATGGTCTCCCGTGCGCCAATCCGTTTTTTGGCAGGCGGAGGAGCAATACATGCGGAAAGCGCAGCCTGAGCACCGCCGGAACCGCTCTCTCTTATCAATCCGGCCGCACTGTTCAATAGTTCAGACGATTTCAAGGTGGGGGCAACAATTGAGAAAAAATTCACTGGTGGATTATCGCAAGCAGCCAACCTGTCGGACTGGGCGAGCGAGTCGGAGACTTCATTGTAGAACGACGCACTACTCTTGAGGTGGGCCCAAACCGGTGCCAGCTCATACTCCGAGTGATTCAGCACGCGCGCTAACGGAGAGGCTTCGACGGTTGTGATCAACTCCGTGACCAGAGGCAGCATGCTGGTGTACGAAGCGCCGGATGGGATGTGGATTTCGAGCAGGCGCCGGAGGTTCGATTTGAGTGGACCGTCATGCATGTGCAGCACGGCGCGAAGTAGCAACGGGATGATATCGTGACGGAGCGCCATTCGGAGTGGGCGTGGCCCGACCCCGACAATAATGTTTGTTACCCCGATTACAGAACGAAAGCTTCGCAGCCAGTACTCGTGGTCCCGATGATCTGCCGCGACAGCTGCTGTTTTCGGATGCAGGACGGTGTTGTTAAGGACCTCGATGACCTGCGGGAAGATGTGGTGTGAGACCAAGCTGGTGGCGACTGCTGTGATGGGATTATTTGGGTTGGCCGCTACCAGTAGCTTATCGGCTTGGGCCAAAATTTCGAGGGGCCGACAAGAGAGTGCTATGGCACCGTCGATTCGCGACTGCGGCGGAATGGCCCCCACCAGCGTCAGGTGTCGTTTGACGAGTCGCACTAGGTTGTCCACCGTTCCGGCAGCCTCGAGCAGAGCATCCAGCTGCGCTTGGTCCAGAATGTACGGAAACATGCCAATACAGTCGAAGAGGAGGATTACATCCAGCTTGGGCTGCTCCACGATCCATAACCACGCGTCAACAAGCCGCCGAAGATAGACCGGCGACGTCCAGAACACCTTAGTCGGGCCAAGGTTTTCGTTGATTCGCACAGGATCGAAACCTAGTTTTTGCCCCCACTTCAGCTCTACATCCCGGCCCCATCGAACAAGCGATACCAGGAGCCCAGGCTTTGGCGGCAACGTCGTTCTGTTTCCCAGAACGACCACATCCTTTAAAGGCACCAAGAAGTCTTGGAAGGTGTACAGAAAGTCCATCCAGGCGATGAAGAACGCGCAGATGTCGAATACACCCTCGGGGAGCTCCTTCGGCTTGTGCGCGAGAAGCCACAATAGGTGGCGGAGCTGGTTTTTCGTTGTCGGAGACGGGTCTTCAATTTCGGCGGCGGGTGGTATTCGAGCGGGGTCGAATATGACGAGGAAGACGGGAAAGAGACGGCTCCGCAGGGTGCGGTCTGCTGTCATCCATAGGCGGTCAAACTTGAGGTAGTCGGCGTCGGAGCACTCAGGGTCGCATGCGGCTAGTGCGATTCCCTGAAACGGTGAGTTACCATTGAGAGTTGTGCATTGCACTGCTTACTCTGTGCAGGATGGAAAGCTTCCCGAGGTCGTTCTTGGCCGTGACGACCAGCGGGTGCATCGAATGATGAAAAAGAGATCGAAAAAAGGTCGGTCACGGCTGTGACATTTCCTTCCTTTCCCCACATCGAGCGGCTACGGTACCGACGAGAGGACTTCGGATCCCGTCCCATGCCCGAGAAGACAGAGCCACCTTCAACGAGGAAGAGCAAAGAGAGGTTGGAAGGACTGAGAATGAAGGTGAGTGGAAGCGTTGCTCCGCGCCGTCGCTGCTGTACCCACTCTTCGGCTTTCCAGACATGGCAAAGCTCGCTCTGACGCATCCAAAACCCATAACTCCACACTTCCCCGCCGCGTCTGGCTGTTCGAGTGTGTTTTTGGCCCCCTGAATCGCAAGAGCAGGTCCATTCCTGTCGCTCCACCCTTCACACGCAAGAAGACATGCCCATGGCCTACCCTGCGCTTCCGCGACCGGCGTTAATGGTGCCTGCGACACATTTAGATATTTCAAGTGCGTTATCCCGAACGCCGCCCACTTTTACTCCCTGACGCAACTTTTTCAGTTTTTCACATTTGCGGTCATGACGCCTCGGACTCGTTATCGAGCTTTCCTCTCCCCGACCGCTCTCCTTCAAGTCCATGTCACCGCTCATTGAACATGAGAATATAAAGGGCACCTGCTGCCCGATATCCCCTCTTCCCTTGACGGACACCATTCCGTCTTCATATTCCCGTTGAGTCCTGACATTGACGTTCTCCCTTCCAGCGCTCGCTTTCCCACCTATCCCAATACCTACAATCTCCCTCATCGAATCATTTGTGCCATCCTGTATTCTGCCTACGATTTTCCTCGTCGACTCATTTGCACCATGCTGTCTCCGCTTCACTCTTACGTTCCTGCAATTTACCCGTTATTATCGCTATAAGCATTAGTCTACATAGGAGCGGACGATACTTGCGTGGCGCCAGCCTGGTGTTCCAAGCCAAAACGGGGCAACGATGAACATCCGCGCAGCAAGACGAACAAAGGAATGCATGACCGGTGGTGCATGCAGTACCCCTCGCGGATTGGTATGTAGCACCCGTTACCGGCTATGTCCATTTACATGCTTTTTAGGTCCGTTTTCGTTGTGTCCTGTGTTCGTTCTTGTGGATAGTACTTCGCGCATCAGTGAAGTCATACGAGTAGTACTTATGTGGCTTATATCTCTTACTAACGACAACCGTGACTTTGCAGACTGCCACGTTTGGACTACTTACGAGGCTACCATCTCTGGCGTGTGCTATGCGTTCATCGTGGGGGGTTTATATGTGGAGGAGTGGGTGCATTTTAACATTTGCGTTCATCTTTGTACTCTTTTCAGTATTACTCTCTGTTCATTGTTTACTAGTATTCTTGTCTACTGATCACACATACGGTATGATACAAGCGATGCACTAGTCCTGTTAAATGTCAATTAGACTATACTTTAAGCTGGGCCTTGGCTTGTAAGATGCAGCAAGCAAACACTACCATATCCCAAGTAACCGTCTTTCCTCCATACTCAGCGCCTTCGAGGGTTCCCGCTCAGGAATCCAGCTTACAGGGTGATACGGCCCGATGCCGTCGCACGACAGCGCCGACGGCACTCCCTCCGAATCAACAATGTCTCCGATTCGAGGGCGTGGCTGCTCACATGACCAAGACAGCCGCAGCCTGCCGTTTTTGCGCAACGCGGCAAGCTGCGGCTGCAGCGCGACATCTGCATGACTGCGGAACCCGAATTCGCGCCAGCAGCCGGGGAGCGCGCGCACATGGCACTCGAACGTCGCTCCGGAGTCAGCCTGGGGATTACGGGCTGCGAGGAAAGCGAGAAAGGCAGTGTCGCTGAAGCGGAGCATAGAGTGCAGCAAGATATGTGTCAGATGAGGGAGCCGCATTGGGGCGGCAGTGAGCGCCGCAAAGAGCGGGGTGGCCACCACATGGACGGGGTACGGAAGCACGGGATGGTCGGAGATGAAAAGGCGCTCCAGCATGTCGAGATCAGAGATGAACTTGAGGAGCTCCTCGAGGGCAATATGTGTGTCGCGAATATCTAGCACTCGGAGGCTGCGGTGCCAATGGGAGCGGAGAGATATGCCCGACAGTTCCTGTTGCGGCCAGCTGCAGGGGAAGGCCAGCGGGTGGTGGTCGGCGGTCCACATCTTGCCAGCCCGCTCTATGCGACTCTGGGAAGTAGTCGATATAAGGGTAAGGTCTGCTAAATTGGGCAAACGCAACACATGAAATATGCGCTGGAAAATATCCATGGCTTGCGAGGCCAGAAAGTTACCAACGCCAAACGTCAAGGATTGGATTCCAGATTCGATTGTCGACTTAGACAGTCTGTCCAAGCGCGTTGCCACGTCCGTGTCTTCGAGAGTGCAATAGTACTCAAGTCTGAAGCGGACACTTTGAGGAATGATCGGCATGGATTTAAGAGCGTTCAAGACCGTCGTGAGATTCGCCGTGCATACCAACACCTCGAGTGAGTTCAGCACCACGGCGGGAATCAGCGGAAGCATATGCCCCGAAACAGAGAGAAATCTCAGGGACGTGGCGCTGACAAGGAATTCAAGGGCGGTTGGCGGTAAGGGAGTGCTATGTGACCAGGATTGGGACGGGAGGCGCAGGCGCTCGAGTGATGTCAACTGTCCCCTTGCAAGCAGCGCGAATTTCGTGAGCTTAACGTAATCCAGAGCACCCATAGACGCGCTCCGCCATCGTGGCATCGTTGACGCGACCGCTTCGAGCGCTCCAGTTGTGACCGACGTGAAATAAACCTCGAGGGGGGCTTGGCCAGCAAAGTTCAGGAAGATCCAGCTGAGCTTGCGCACACGATCGTATGCATCGTAATAATCCGGGTATTCAGAGCCATCCAGCGGGACACAGCTCCAGATCTGGGGAGAGTTCCGCAAGACGCTACGCCAGTAGGTGCACACTCTGGCGAGCTTGAGATAGTCCTCAAACAGCTGTTCGCTTCGGCGCAGATCTCTTAGAAGGTAGCGGCGACTCCATCCGCCGGCGGGAAATCGTAGGCAGAGACGCAAGATTTCGACAAGTAGCTCGCGGGGGCAGGCGCCAGAGCGGGGATGAGAGCGCCCGATACGCTTTGTAGTGGTAGCGGAGAGCCCCAGTGCGAAGAGAAGCGGAGACGTAGACAGCCTTTCGGTCAGCCTCCGCAAGCAACTGGAGAGCAGCGGCATGGGTCGACGAGAAGTCCTCTGCGACTCCGTTTTGAGATGGGACACCGCCCCGCAAGAGCGCAAGGATGGTGGCGACTGGCGGGAGCATCGGGAGCTCGGCCATAGCGGTAAGTCGGAAGAAGGTTGATATTGGTGCACGTGATGATCGGCACCGTGACGGATCTTCGTCTCGACTGTCATGACGAAAGCGCCCACTGCATGCTGGCATACCGACAACGCATACTGGTACACGACACCACGACGGACAGAGAGAGGGGTCCATACCGCTGGTTGTGCTTGGGGTCCACTGCTGACAACGACGACGGTGCGTGCGCCGCCGTGAATCCGGCACCGCTGTCTTCCTCCCCCCTCTAAACCGCCACTTTGCAGCGCACTGGCGGACTTCATCTAGCGCCCTAGACCGGAGCGATCCGCCATCTGTGACCGTCGTTCTCTGCGGTTGTTCCTCCCTATGGTGCTGGGTGTCTCGAGCAAAGGCGCCTGGGAAACGCTTCTCGCCCAGCTTCGATCCTCCGGTACCGGCCCGGGCGCTGCTGGGGGAAACGAAGCTACAGTGTGTATGGTCTGTTCCCGCGCTGACAGATCTGCCGGCGGCTTCGGGGCTCGGGCTATCTACGCTTACACGGGTCGCTTCAAGTTTATCCCTTCGATTCGTATCGATGAAGGACGCTTTTGCCAGCTCATTCGTCATCCGTGCGCAAAGCGGACAAGCCTATGGGCCTGGTTTACTGCTACTTTGAACAGTTTATTGTTCCCTCAGGCTCTCCGGTTCTTCCATCTCGCCTATCCTCTTGGTATCTCAGGCTTGCTCTGTCACGTCCACGTTCCGAAGGGATACAAGTCGTCAACCCGTACAGCCTCCCTGTCAGGCATAGCCAAACAGAAGACGTTGTATGCTGCTTCATTCATTGTCGGCAAGCAAGCTCAAGACTTGTTCAAGTTGTCGACACTCATGCATCATGTACATACTCTGCCGTCTACCCGGATCCAGAACGACCGTGGCCTATTGTCAACAGCCTCCAGGCTGAGATTCTCCGCCCTCTCTAGGCTCTCTTATTGGAGCCATCCCTTGCACGTTCCAATAGTCAACGACTTCAACTTCGGTGTGCAAGCCCAGATTCCCTACGACTTCAAGCACGTCAGCTTTCACGCTACTAATCTCTTCAAAAGTGAAATGAACATTGTCGGGCGCGACCCTGATGGTCAGCAACGGTGTGAAGCCGGTATCGGCCCCCAAGCGCAAGGGTGGAACCAGATATCGGAGAGTCGAGACAAGACTCCCGGTGTCTTCGGGGTATTGGATGTCGGCGAGAGTAACACTGATCTCGAGAATTAACTGGGTGAGTGGGCTGGTGCAGCCAGGGTGGGTGAGTGAAGCCTGAGAGACAACGCTAAAAATCCATCGGCTAGGATGGTAGGATAGTTGGAAATGAATGTCGAGTGTTCGGAGGACAGCAAGGTCGCTGATGACAAGCTCACAGCTGTTCGCTAAGGTCTATGAATCGAATTAGTCACTATGAAGCAGAAAATACGAACAGTAAAGGCTGTCGTCCAGAACGATGGTCAGACGTTCCAAACAGCGCATATCTCGCAAAAATGCAGCCTGTACCATTTTTTCGCAGGACATGTTTTGAATGTGTAGTTTGATGTGCTGCAGGACAGAGATGTCCACAATTCCGGGGACTAGCCTCATAAATCTAGCATGATCGCTCTTGAGGGCAAGAGATTGGAGCCGGAGTTTGTTGGGACTCAAGTATTCAGTGCCGAGTCCGGACCACAATTCTTGTACATCGACTTCGGATAATGACAAATGCTGCAGTTGCGTGCGGGCCACGCCTGGCAGGCACACAGCAGTCCACAGATCCAGCCCGGACCAGAAGGTGACGCCGCGAATGGTCAGCGACGTGAGTTGCGGCTGTGCAATGGCGCGGGACAGGGCCGTTTGTGTTGGCGACGACAGAAGCCACCAAGAGAGTGGGAAACGCAGCCGGATCCAATCCTCATTGCCCCCGATCCCTGGCCTCGAGTCCACGATGAGCGTCGTCAGGTGCTTGAAGCGGGGTAAGACCCGTGAGAGTTGCTCCTCCGCCATCCACGGCGCCCCTTCACCCAGTCGAGAGCTGGTACAGTGGATAGTAAGACGACGGACATGGTTGCTGATATGCGGGGAGCGCGCCTGAAGCTCGTCAAGCGTTGCGAGGGAAAGGCTGCGATACAAGGAGGGCAGGAGTCGGAATGACTGAAAGAGCAGCTTTTGGGCTGGAGCGCAGAAGCTGCGCGATATCAGAGAACAGGCTTTGAGCGACGGTCTATCATCCGAGCCAATGTCTTCAACGATGATATCCACCAGCTCTTGAGGAAGCGAAGAACCGATGCATGGGGAGCGTGTCGAAGAGGGACTAGAGACCATCGGGTAGCCGTGAGTGTGGTAGCGACGCAAGTAGTAAAGCGCCCATCGCTTCTTCCTTTACACCGTCCTGTTAGTCACTTTTCCCATCGTGCCGGAGGCTGTTCACGCAGCCTTCATCAGCGCCCATGCACCGCCAGAGTCAGTTCAATGACTATACCATCAAAGGCCCGGGAGGGAGACGGAAAGCCGCATGGAGGGTGTCACGGTCGAGGTGGCAATCGTTGTTGCCGTTGCCGCGGACCGTCACCACAGCAGTGCCGCCCATTGACATTTAACCAATAGAAAAGACATAAGAGTGCCGCTCAGAGGCCGAGAATATAGGCATTGTTGCACGAGCTGGAGCGCAAACGTGCAGCAAGAGTCGATTCAGATGCGCTGACGAGCCTGACCCAGAAGCAAGCACTTGAGTTTGTTGTTGCTGCCAAAGCTAGAAATTGAGACAGCGGAGTAAGAAATGCCCCACAGGAAGCCATTCCATCGTCCGAGTGCGATAAACGCGTAGAACTCAGTGTCCGCACGCGGTGGATGGTGGCGATCGGGAACAACCACCGTCTGGCCGAAAAAGGAAATTGACATCTTCTCTTCTCCCTCCATGTCCATCCGGCCAACGACACACAGCGCGTTGTACGCGGTCGACTCCTGCCCGCCACACTGCCCTTGGACGAGCTCGTGAAGGGGCTATGCCAGAGCCTCATTGTCGATGATGTGCCACCGCTGCTAAGGACGACGACGGGAGGCGGGTGAGTGGGGCTGGCAGGGGCGGGGAGAAGTGTTTGCCGTGCATTACTGGGGCGTATGGGATGCTATGGTGAGCTGTTGGTGCTCTCAATGGTGCGTAATCCGTTGTCTGAAAAGGTACACTTACTCACTCAGATTCCTTTTTCGCAGCAGAAATCCCCTCCGCCTTCAGCCTCACACACGCCTCTTCGCATATGTGCCACCCGAAAGTACAGCTTCGCGCGGGCCCATGTGTAGACGGCGGGACAATGCAAAGCTGAAACTTGGCCGTTTTGGCTTGAATGACCACGACCGACCCGACTGACCACGACTCGCATGTTGGACGAAAGCCGTCTATATGTCTTCAAACTCGAAGTAGGCCTGAAGGCGACTCTCTACCACAGTATGGAGGCTTTCACGGTGCGTTCTTAGGCCAGCTTTCCGAATTGTCAAGCTCATATCTTGCAGAACTCGTCAAATGCGCCACCAGCGCCTTATTCTTTGCGCTTTCCTCATCCCAAAACGACCATCTCCTCTCTCCGACATCCATAACTGCCATTGTCAACGATTAATTGCGGGCTGGAGGCCGTTGTCATTGTTTGTCGCCGAATATGGCGCGAATCCCCTCTTGCACCGATAAATTTCTTCGATGGCCCTCTATACCTCACCAAACGGCTTCCCGCACTGCCCTTCACTTTGTTGACTTACCCGCCGCTGCGCCAGACGGATTTACTCCCCTGGCTTTTGATCTTGCCAATGTCCTCCTCCTCACGCATGCTATGACGAAGCCGTTGGTCGTCCGCTGGCTGTCAAACGAGTCCCCCATCGTATCTTGGAGGGTATCGCCTCCCGCAGAGACGATCTGCGGTCCACAGGCCACGGTCCTCGCTACCTTTTTGTGCACAAGTCGCTGCTGTAGCCAATACGGGTTTGTCATGGCGCGCAATCTTTTACGGCTCAAACTACGGCTTCCACACGAGCATTCATCCTCATTTATGACGGCCATCTGCTCTCTCCTCATTCGGCCGCTCCGTTTGCGAGCTCGTCGTCCCCTTCCTCGGCACCCTCATACTGTCAACATCTCCCGCCCCGTTTTTGCTGCCGGAGCTCAACACCAGCTCAAGCAGGATAAATACCATCCGGAAAAACGATATCGGCACCTGAAGCTGCTGAAATCGACCGCCGCTATCGCGGAAGATAGTGGCACGACCTGTTTCGCTTCCACAGCGGTCTCGACCCTCAGATCTCCTCTCCTTTTTTCATTCCCTTTCTCTGCCGCCAAATGTTTACCGAATACAACTTCTTCTGTGCGCAGACTTTCGCGCGCCAACAAGCACCTCCGTCCTGTTTCAAATGTCACCATACCATCCCTCCTCCGCCACTGCTGTTTCCCCATATCTGGCACTCTCCTTCGCCCTACCTTTGCCTCATGCATATTCTGCGTCCCTGATGTCTGAATTATTCATGTCTAAAGCAGGAATTATCATCATGGCCTCTCTTCAACTTCCTCGACGATATCGCGTCGAACGCGATATACAGGCGCTTGGGAAACGTGGTGGAGACGGAGACGGCTGGGACCCAGCAGTGACTGTTGGAGGTGGTTTGTGTTTGCGACCACTAAGATTCCTAGATATTGATGTCCCGCATTCCTAGTTGTTTTAACGACTCGGAGCTGATGCTGAAGCAGATCTAGACATTCAATGATATTCATGTCAACCACTCCAGCACACGAGTCAGAACATATGCTTGGCAGCATCGATGAATTCAGAATTGGGATCGATAAGTGCGTACACGTGACTCGCGTCCTGGCGGTCGCTTGGCATAGGCGGGGTGACACGTTTCACCCGGCGCTCAGGCCGCCGGCTGTGACCCTCTTTCCCCGGAACCACTACCACGGAAATATTGGACTTCAAGATTTGAGGCTTTGTGCCCCTGCCGTCGGCGCGATTAGATTTATGGATGCCAGAAGACGCTGACTTGCCGCACCGGGCTGATGCCTGCCAGTGGCTGCCTCGAGGCGTCTCGGGGGCACGTTGCGATGCGGAAGCACATAAATAGCGACTTCGACGTCTTCCTCCTCTCTCACTCGCTCGCATGGCTGTACTTGGGGGCAAACCAAGAGCGAAGTCGTTCATGACGAACATATACAGGCGCGTTATCTTGAGAACGTAAACTCTGTTACTGATGCTATTCCTTAGACTAATGACCAGCGAGGACCCGCGTGTGAGCGAGCTCATTGCATGGGGGAGAACCACGGACGGAACGCACGCGGCCATTATCATACCCAATTCCGGGCGCTTTACATCCGAGGTCTTGCAGCTTGACCCACCGCTCTACCTATCAAGTCCAATCCTGTCAGCATCGTTCACCCGCACCATGCAGGTGCGTCTTGCTTGCGGAATCCTTGGCGTTCGTCTCAGTTCTACAGCAATATCACTTCACATTCAAGACAATACGCACAAACGGGGGCGCGCGCGGGGAAGAGTGGGGTGCGTGGCTTGGCCATTCGTATTTAACGCTCTCTGATGATCCAAGTCCACCCTTCGCTGACCGCAGCGTCGAGTCTTGCCGACTGGCTTGATGTCCGCCCACACTTTCGTACGCAGTCAGGACCGAAACCAAGGAGGCGCGTCTCCCAGCGTCCCGCGTCGTCCCCAACCCCGTCTTCTGCTTGTTCCTCTCGAAAAACGCTGTCAAGTACTACAATCAGTCCGAGCTGGGCCTCTTCCGAATCAAAGTGTGTCCATCAATATACCTCAGACAACCTTTAACATTTTTGTAGTTTACCAACTCATCTCCTCCCCGCTGCCGCAATGTCGCCTCTGATTCCAACGCTGGCGCCTCTCGACCTTTTACCCCCCAGTCCTTCTCCGCATCTTACGGAAATTACTCCAGCATGGCAATTGTGGATAGAAGAGGCGGGATTCCTGGCAAAGCTCTACAGGCGTGTTCCTCGTTCCAACGACCGAAATCTTTTCTCTGACGGCTACTCCCTCGTAGGATAGCACGGGCTCCGGAGAACCGGAACGTGATCTACTGGTCGTCACGTGGGATCGAGCTGCGCGACTTGAACGCACTGCCCCAAGTGCTCATGGACTCTTTCGGTGCGCTGCGCGGATTCATGGCACAGCTGAAAGTAAGCGCTTTGTAACCCTGCCGGGGGATGTCTATCTCACCTTGTGACGACCAGCTGCACGGCTTTACGATGGCCCCAATCGGATACATGAACGCAGCAGCAAAACAGTGCTACACAATGCTTTGGGGTGAGTAGTATACTTATGCTATCCCCCGTTTTGCAACTGACATGCAATAAGACCACCCGGTGCTCAAGCGTGATCCGCCTGGTGGCTTGGAAGTTGACAGTCTGTGGTGGATGGATGCGGCGGCGGCGAGCAGGCTAGCCGCTGCTGTGTGTGCGGAGGAAGGGGATGCTAAGGGAGATTCGCAGTTGTAAAAGTAATCATTATTACCAATGTTCCGAGTGTTGACGCGAGAAAGGCCGCCGAGGAGACGAGGTATGCGACCCACGGAAGGGGCCATTACAGCCCCTTCAAGCAATGAAACCGCCCTAGTCGACGTTGGATGGTGGCGATGGGGGGACAACATGATATTCTGCGGGTTAGGAATCGGCGGGCCGCGGAACCCATGTGCAACGCAAGCTCGTCTGCACCAGGCTTGTCCACCAGACCTTCTGCACGGGCAGGACTCTCCACTCCGGTCAGCGCCGCAACCCCCAAAGCGTCCGTAAACAGCAGCATCGCTTGATGCGCTCTCATGACTTTACGGATGCACCTGGGAGTTGGCAGCGCTGGCCGGACTACAGAGTCGCGCGCGAGCACACGGCCTGGCAGAAAGAGCCTGCAGTTCGGCCAGAGGTCCCGGGGAAGCGAATAAGTCGGGGTTTAGGCCAGAATTACAGTATGACGCACCAAATTTGCCGTCATTTGCAAAGGCATGGCTCCCATGGGCTGAGCAGCAGAGTCAACGTAATTCGGCACAAATAAGAGGGGCGACATACCGGTGCTGATAGTGCAAGCGGGCAGGAGTGTGTGTTGACGTGTGGGTGAGCGGACAAGGGGAAAAGGCAAGGGAAGATGATTTTATACCTTTGCACGGGTCACACACTGGCAGCCTGAGCTCCATATCCCAGACGTGTACCCGACGTGGTCCATACGTGCGCCAAGAATCGGGGTATGAGTAATGCCGGGCCGGCGTTGAATGATATTTCTGTCCTCACTGGCAGCAGCAGGTGTGTTGATATGTTGCCGCGCTGTAAAGCATGGGTAAGGACGACAAATTGTCCAAAGGAGCGATAAGCAAGCCGCAAGCGTCCCCCGTCCGGGCCGACGTCGCGACTAGGCTTATGAGATCGCCATCCACGAGGACGTACCATATTCCGTGAACTTCAAGTGTGGATGCCTCGAAACTTCGTAGATGGTGGCAATTGGGAACAACCATCGTCTGGCCGAAAAAGGAAATCGACTTCTTCTTCTTCTCTTCATGTCAACCGCCCAGTCACAAACGCGCGGCGCGCAGTATGCGGTCTATTCCTCTCCACTGCACTGCCCTTGGACGAGCTCGTGAAGGGGCTATGCCAGAGCCTCATTGTCGATGATGTACCACCGCTGCTAATGACGACGACGGGAGGCGGGTAAGTGGGGCTGGCGGAGGCGAAGAGAGCCTGTGTTTGGGGGGTGCTGTACCGGGGACGTATGGGATGCTATCCTGAGCTGTTGGTGCTTTCAATGGTGCGTTATCCGTTGTCTGAAAAGCTATACTTACTCACCCGGATTGCTTTTTCGCAGCAGAAATCTCCTCCGCCTTCAGCCTCCACATACACACCTCTTCGCGTACACCACTCTCAAGGACGGCTTTGCGCAGTCGCACACGTAGCTGGTGGAGCCTTGCCGCGCCGGAATCCGGTCATTTTGGCTTGAATGGCCACGACCGACTCAAGTTGAACGACTCGCACGTTGGGCGAAGGCAGTCCATATGTCTTCACACTCGACGTAGACCTGAAAGCGACTCTCCACCACAATATGGAAGCTTTAAAGTGCGCTCTTTGGCCAGCTTTCCGGATTGTCACGCTCATTTCTCGCAGAACTCGTCAAATGTGCCACCAGCGCCGTATTCTCTCCACTTCCCTCATCCCGAAACGACCTTCTCCTTGCACTATGACTATATCTGCCCTTGTCAACGATGAAATACCGGCTGGTTACCGCTGCCATCGTTTGTCGAAAATGGCCCAATCGCCACCCGCACCAATAACTGCCCTCGGTGGCCCTTAACAACCCAACAAATAGCTTCCCGCGCCTCACCTCCCTTCGGTCAATCACCCGCCGCTGCGCCAGAACGATCCTCCTGCGTCATTCTAGATGTCGCCAATGTCGCCCTCCTCCTGCATCACACAATGCGGCCTTTCTCCATCTACTGGCCCCCAAAACGTCCTCGTCGTATTATAAAGGCCTGCTCTCAAGGCGTTAATGATGTGCGCGCTATGAAACGCTGTCGAAGCCGCGTTTTGATGCAAACGTTGCTGATTTGGCCGATAGGCCTTCCTGACGTCTCATAACCTCTTCTGGCTCAACACACGACGTCCCCAATGAGCATTCATCTCCCTTGCGCACGGTCATCTGCTCTCCCTTCATTTGGTACCCTCGTTTGCGAGCTTGTCCTCCTCTTCATCTTCACGCTGTCCACATCTCCCGCCCTCTTTCTGCTGCTGGGGCTCAACACGGTGATAAGCGCGATAGTGCTGCTTCAAAGGGACTGAATCGGAAGCACAGCAACTCCTCGCTGCTACCGTTGACTGCCAATATGCGGAATACCAGTAATATACTTAATCCATATCGTTTCCCCACGATCTCAGCACCTCAACTCTCAGCCGGCGTCGTTCCCGAATTGCATCCGTGTTCGTTGAGTCGTGCCCGTCTATCCCGCCGCCATTTGACTGTCTTGTTCTCGAGCTCGTTCATCCCTTCTTCGTCATACTGGACCTGCTCCATTTCTCCTCGTTTGTGGCGCGACGCGGTCGAGCATGATATGTGGACGCGCTTGACGGGGAGGAAAGAGTGACCAGTGGCAGCGTTCCAGTTTTAAGTCGGTCGGAAGTCAAAGACTGCACTGCAAATGACAGTGGGTAAAAGTATCGTACGAGTTTGTGGAGTCAACGCACGCAAGGAACGAAGTTGAGAAAAGATACACGTGCTGGGAACGGAAAAATGACGCTGTAGCTATATTGCACGCAGGAAGAGCAAGCCCCTTCCGATAGCGTCCAAGACCCACAACGAGCACGAACGGCAAGGAAAACGCACCTTCAGCTCTGATTCCTAGCCTTCTATAGCTATGCCCGCCCGTCCAGCCCGTGGCACTCAGCCTCCGTCGCAAAGTAGCTGTCATTGTGAGCAGATGCTCGCTGGAGTGTGGTCGGAGCCATGTGCTCGTCATCTCAGAACTC